AACACAGCAATCAAGGTGATGTCTCACCAGTGCTGAGTACATGTGGACAATACAAACTAGGATGCCATTTGCCTTCTTGGCCACATAGGCACACTGCTGGCTCATATTTAGACATTGTCAACCAACACCCCCAGGTCTTTTTCAGCCAGACAGCTTTCCATCCACTCTTCCCCAAACTTGGAGCATTGCATGGGGTTGTAGCTACATGCAGGACCTGGCACTTTGCCTTGTTGAACCTCATACAATTTGCCTCTCCCATGAATCCAGCCTGTCCAGATCCCTCTACAGAACCTTCCTACCCTCCAGCAGATCAACACTCCCACCCAACTTGGTGTTGTCTGCAAACTTACTTGGTTCCCTCATCCAGATCATTGATAAAGATATTAAACAGAACTGGCCCCACTACTGTGCCCACTTTTGGCTGTTGGCCATCCAGCCAGGTTTTTTTACACAATAAAGGGCACACCTGTCTGTTTCTCCAGGGCAAAGCTGTGGGAAACAGTGTCAAAACCTTCACTGATGTCTAGGTAGACAACAGCCACAGCCTTTCCCTCATCCACTAGGTGGGCCACCTTACCATAAAAAGAGATCAGGTTAGTCAAGCAGGACCTGCCTTTCATAAACTTATGCTGGGCCTGATAACCTGGTTGTTCTGTAAGTGCCATGTGATTGCACTCAAGATGATCTGCTCCATAACTTCCCCAGCACTAAGGTCAGACTGACAGACCCATAATTCCCTGGATTCTTCTTCTGGCCTTTTTTGTAGATGGGTGTCACATCTGCTAACTTATAGTCAGCTGGAACCTCCCTGGTTAGCTAGGACTGCAGATAAATGATTGAAAGTGGCTCAGTGAGCACTTCCACCAGCTCTGTTAGTACCTTGGTGGATCCTGTCTGGCCCTATAGGTTTGTGTGAGTCTTGTCCTGCGGAGAAGGATTTGGGGATGTTCGTTGATGAGAAACATAACATGAGCCAGCAGTGTGTGCTCACAGCCCAGAAAGCCAACCGTATCCTGGGCTGTATCAAAAGAAGCATGACCAGCAGGTCAAAGGAAGTGATCCTACCCCTCTACTCTGCTCTCTTGAGACCTCACTTGGAGTATTGTGTACAATTCTTGTGTCCTCAACATCAGAAGAACATGGAGCTGTTGGAGAAAGTCCAGAGGAGGGCCACGAGGATGATAAGAGGGCTGGAGCACCTCCCTTATGAAGACAGGCTGAGAAAGTTGGGTCTGTTCAGCTGGAGAAGAGAAGGCTGCGTGGAGACCTCATAGCAGCCTTCCAGTATCTGACAGGGGTCTATAAGGATGTTGGGGAGGGACTCTTCATTAGGGACTGTAGTGAGAGGACAAGGTGCAATGGGTTCAAACTTAAACAGGGAAAGTTTAGGTTAGATTTAAGGAGTAAGTTCTTGACTGCGAGGGCGGTGAGGCACTGGAATGGGTTGCCCAAGGAAGTTATGAATGCTTCATTCTTGGCAGTGTTCAAGGCCAGGTTGGATGGAGTCTTGGGTGACATAGTTTAGTGCGAGGTGTCCCTCCCCATGGCAGGGGGTTTGCAGCTAGATGATCTTAAGGTCTTTTCTAACCCTAACTATCCTATGATTCTACGATTCTAAGTGGTGTTGCAGGTCACTGGCTGTTTGCCCCCTTGGATTATGGGGGCTTCATTCTACTCCCTGTCCCTGTCTTCCAGTTCAGGGGGCTGGGTACCCTGAGAGTAACTGGTCTTACTATTAAAGACTGAGCCTTAAACTATTAAATACCTCAGCCTTTTCCTCATTCTTTATAAATGTTTCCTCCTGCATCCAAAAAAGGAATCTCCTTTAGCCCTCCTTTTGTTGCTAATATATTTATAGCAACGTTTTTTATTGTCTTTTACAGTAGTAGCCAGATTAAGTTCTAGTTGGGTTTTGGTGCTTCTAATTTTCTCCCTGCATGACCTTGTGACATCATTGTTGTCCTTTTGAATTGTCTGCCCCTTCTTCCAAAGGTCATAAATTCCTTTTTTTCCTGAGTTCCAGCCAAAGCTCTCATTTCAGGTCTTCCTCCCTGCTGGCTTGTCTTTTGGCACAAGGCTCCTGTGACTTTAAGATTTCCTTCTTTAAGAATGTCCAGCCTTTCGGAATTTCTTTGTCCTTCAGGACTACCTCCTAAGGGGCTCTCTCAGCCAGTCTCTTAAACAGGTCAAACTCTGCTCTTTGGAAGTCCTTCTGTGGTTGTTGACAAACAACAGGTCCAGCTGGGCACCTTCCCTAGTTGCCTCCCTCACCAGCTGTGTCAGGAAGTTTTCTTCCACGCATTTCTGGAACCTCCTAGACTGTTTCCTCTCTGGTGTGTTTTATTTCCAGTGAGTATCTGCTAAGTTGAAGTCCCACATGAGAACAAGGACTAGGTTTGCTCAGCTGCTTATAGAATATTTTGTCTGCTTCTTTGTCTTGATGTGATCATTAAGCACAGCTAGAGTTCTCCAATGGATGGCTATAAACTCTTCAGAAGGGATAGGAAAGAAAGGAAAGATAGTGGGGTAGTCTTGTATGCAAGGGAGTGTTTTAATTGTCCAGAGCTTTAAGGATGGTGATGATAGACTTGAGTGTTTATGGGTAAGAAA